CGTGAATGGAGGCAGAGAAGAACCATACGAGGCTACAAGCATTCTGTTGGGGATAAAACCGAACATGTAAGCTCGTTGTTTCTCTAGCGGTTTTCTCTCTCGACCGGGGCACAAAATTTTGGGGGCCTGGCGGTCGCACCGCTCACACATGTCCCTCGACGGGCCTGATAACAATGTTTCCTTGGTTTCAACAATGGTTCAAAGCACTAGAGGCATCGAGCTTCACTCACAACGACGCACCATGAGTGAGGAGGTAGAAAATGTCCTTGTAAAGATTTGTTGAGTTTAATATATTCACTTTGATTCTTAAGATATTGTATATTGATATTGTTGGTGCTCATTCCATGTAGAAATTTTGGAAACCTATGACATTGATCAACTAAATCATTGTTGACTGGGGATTTTGACCCTAGGCATCCAAATTTGGAGCTGGTCATCAAGATACCTAGACCCAGTGATTATGTATGCTTGTGTGTTTTCTCTATACTATTGTTAGTAGAGGTTGTCTACTCGGAAAATCCATCTCTGCACTCGAGCTCATCTGCACCCGCTTTGACAAAAAAATTCAAAACAAATACTAGAAAAAATAAAAAAAATCCAAAAAAGTTGGCCGTAGAAAATTTGATGCGTGAACCCCGCTCCAAATTTTAAGTCATTTGGACACCTGAGCAGCTCTCAGCAAAAAAGACAAATTGAGGATTTGTAAAAAAGTTTAGTGTTCATGTATTGTTTTGGCCCGATTTGTCTTTTTCGCTGAGAGCTGCTCAGATGCCAAAATTACTTGCAATTTTGAGCGGGCCTCACACGTCAAATTTTCTACCATAGATTTTTTTTTGGATTTTTTGGATTTTTTTGATATTCTTACTATTTTTTTCTAACCGGGTGCAGATGAGCCTGGGCACCGAAAAGCCCCACAAGCTTGCACTCCAAAACCTCAATCACCCTCTTTGGGAGGGCATCGCGTTGTACTTTGTGTTTTATATAAGGTTTTTTTGTTTGGCTTATAATGTGGCATATATATATACCCGGCCTCTGCACAATTAGAATGCACACGATCAATATCAATAACCACGCAAAAGATCATGATGGCTGCAAGTGCATATAGTGCCTCCTTTGTGGTTTTGGGGTATTGCTGACAAAATTGGTTAAGAGACTAATGTGTTTGTGACTATACATGTGTTTGTGACTATACATTGGTTAAGAGTCCAATTGATGCAAAGACAATATTTCGAAGTGTGCTCAATCGAAGCCTATTTCTTCAAGTGAAAACTTTGGAATTGTCTTCGAGTGAGTGCCCTTTTCTTCGGTGTCTGAGACGACAGTGTTTGGGACGCTTTAGTCAAAGTCCTCTCTTAAGAGTTAGAAAACCAGCAGTTTGGTACTTCCACTGTGAGGAATTTGAGAGTTCAAATTTTCGACCGTTGCCTCGTTGGCGATAGCTGGTTGGCAAGCCTGTCCCGTCCAACGTCATAACGGACCTCGAGTTGCAACCCCCGGCTGAGCCACCCCTCTCCACCGCATTTGAGTCGATCCTAGTGAGGAAAGACATCGTACCTAATATCCAAAGTGATTGAGTGTCACTAAGAATATGTTCGAATGAACCGGAGACTTGTTACTCTTGAAGACACTGATCTTTCAGACGGTTAGGTTAGGCATTAGATCAGAGCATCCAACAGCCATTGTGAATTGCCGAAGAACGAGTACATGAAGGTTCAGAGATATAGATTAAAGATCTACCACAAGTGATTATGCGAGGTCTAAGTGATCTTAGCTCAAGGAGAATATGGTGGTGACTTGGTCTTCTAAGTTAATTCTCAACCTCTCCAACCAGACTTAGAGTTATCACAACAACTCGAATCGGTGCAACAAATCGATTTTCTTCACCGAGTCTCTCGTTTCATATTCTTTACTTTTGTTTATTTTGTGTAACTTGCATTTTCTGAAGAATTAAAACCCTCTCCTCTCTGAAGACTTTTTCTGATGACTTTGATATTCCACTGCACTTAGCTATGCTCCACTTTATTTTCAGTGTCGTTAGTCCGAAGTGTATTTGTCTTTGTGTTATACTAGATCACTTTGTATTGTTACCTACCTTGCATGCTATCTTCTGTTCCAATAACTCTGGCCTGGCCTGGTTCTAAATGCATGATTATTGTAGTTTTTTTTCTTTCAATCTGCATTTCTTCTGTGGGCGATCCAAAAGTGGACACATATGATGCAAGCACGCACGATCTGAAAGTGAACACAACCACACAAATTCGAAACCATGCACACACCAGGCAAGCAACCGGGATGTCAAGAGTCATTCGCAGAGGGAACTTCCGCTGGTACACACTGGTCGTAGATCAAACTGGCAAGAGGAGACAATACTGTCAAAATCTCACATTCAAGACACCGCACGATCCGATGTGCACGTGTATGCTGTTGGTGAATCTAGGCATAGTCACCACCCTAAATAATACAACACAAACCTTTAGTACAACGTCAAGATTGCAATTAGCCGCCACTATCTCCGTCGAACTTGACCCAGCCAACATCATCGACACTATCACGCTGTACTTTTTGTTTTGTAAAGGGAGTGTTTCTATTGGCTTCTTTTGTGTGTGTTTTTTTTTTATGAAGAAGGCGTTTCTATTGACTTATAAGATAGCAGCCAGGAAAAGCAAACACCAATACATGATCGTAGCTATGATTATGCGAACTAAAAAAAAGCAACGATGATCCATACCGAGAAGTTGTTGAGCCACCGAAAAATAATACAAGCTCGCACAATCCAAACATGGACTCAACCACGTAGACTAAAAACCATGGTTACACTACTGAAACAATCCAATTTCCAAGAGAACATCTGTCGGCATATGAATTATGTTAGTTGCAGATCAAACTGGCGAGAAGAGACAATACCGCCAAAATCTCACATTGAAGACACCCGATGGTCCCACATCTCCGCCCCGCAAGTGTATGTTGGTGATGAATCTAGACATACCCCTCCCCCCCCTAAAAAAAGCATTACAACACGATTCTTCACTTCACCGCCATGGTTGCAATCAGTTGCCACTACTTTGCGTCCCGCTTCACCCGACCATCCGCACCGCTGACCAACATCATTGTAACTCGGCAACACAAAAAAAATCAGCAAAAACGCCACCAGTCATCATTATTGTCTAAAAAGGCCTAACTTCAAAACGATGCCTCCAATGGGGAATACGAGCTGAGCGCCGCTATCATTCGATCCAGGCAAATCCAGGCCTAGGGTTTCCCTCAAAGCATTTTGGGAGCGGAGTCAAGGATTGCA